AATAATAAAAAAAATTCCTGCTCAATTTATCAGATGGAAAAGAATAATAAACTTGTACATTATTCCACATGGGATGTATTTTGAGATGACTTCAGTTCAAGTAGTAACCTTTCAGTGTGTTTTAACTCAAGTGACTATAGATTCCACTTATCTGCTAGTTAATAAATGTTCATCATGTGAAAACCTTAAAGAAATGTCTATACCTAACATTATTATGAATGATGTAAAATGTAAGAGTTTTCTCTTAATGCATGTAAATGCATGAGTTTTCCTTATTCTGGGCACCAATATTTTTCAAAGACAAATAATTTGATAAAACATTAAAAATTATGTGCAGTATTGGGTTGAGTAAAAGCTTGTGGCATTTTTCCCTTGTGTTTTTTCTCTCTTCTGTTTAAACTGCTATTTTATTTATTTTAATATTATGTGCTCATTTTCACCTTGCAGTGTATCAACTCAGTAAGCAGAAGAACCCTGAATGAAGTCCTTCTGTCTGGTGAGTATTTTGCATCATAACATATTCATCATTGGGATTTTTCTCATTGTCAAATATTTATTAAATGACAATAGTTTGAGATACATTTTTCCCAAAGTTAATCCGAGTCTATATTGGCAGTAAGTTCCTTACATTCAAGTTGATATGAACTCATATCAAATTAAATTTGAAAGGAAGAAGAATTTCTTTCTAGGGATCTCAAATCTTCTCTGGATGCATCTTGACTGAGTTTTACTGCAAGTGATTTTCTGATGCAAGTCTTATTCATATTTTATTGTTGCAAAATACTTTATTAGAAAATGTGGTCATATTCTTGTTAAAATTTAGTGTAGGTTGATTATTTGGGACAGACTTCCTTTGGGCCAGCAACAGGCCCCTGTAAATCAGTTCAGAAAATCTTCAATAGCTGAGCAGGCTGATGTAGTTTTTCTTACAAAGATCTGATCATGTTTTTATAATTTTAAAAATCTAATTCAGCTCAGTCCATTATTTAAAAAGGCTGTTGCTTTATCCTTGGTGGTACTGGGTAAGTAATTGACTTATTGATGATTTACAGAGGCTGAAAAGTACCCAAATGTGAGCGTCAAGTTCCACCAGAAGCTAACTGGAGGCAATTTAGAGGCTGGTGAAGCCACTTTTGTCAAGTAAGTGTATCTCTTTATTCCAGTGAGTCAAATATCTGGTTTTACAAAGTTATTGCCAAGTATAAACAAGGGGGGTTGGTTGTAACTGATACAGATCCTAGATTTACCATCAGAATAAAAAAAAACCAGAGTCATTTAGATTCAGATCAGACCTGGTTGTAAAATAGGAAGAAAAGGAAAAAAAAAAAACATGGCAGAGTACTGATTGGAAACTGGTTTGTTGACCAATGTTGACAAGTGCTCTCTTGAATTGATTTCCCATCAGTACTGAGACTGGTGAGCAGATTAAGGAGAAGGCAGATCTGATTGTGGGCTGTGATGGGGCTTATTCAATGGTCAGGAGGATGATGATGAAGAGGCCACTCTTTGACTTTTCTCAAGAGTACATTGAACATGGGTATCTTGAGCTCTACATTCCTCCAACTGAAAAGGCCAAGGTATTATTGTTGTTTCTATATATATATATATTTCAATATCCTGGACAGAGGAAAGATTTTTGAATAATGTCTTGCTCAACAAAGTTTGTTAGTGATTCATAAGAATAGGCAGAGAATCCCCAGGAAAGCTATGAATATAGTTGGAAAATTTGATTTTTCTATTATAATTTCTCAGACTGAAGTTTGTGAGATTGATAATTTAAAGATTTCCATGATGTTTCAGAACTGTAAAATCATATACAGTATGTTGCAATCAATCTCTTTTATAACTACAAGCTATCTGAGAGTTTGCTTGAAAGCTTTGATGAAAAGCTTCAGTTAATGTGTTTTGACAAGTATAAGTTATTGTGTGTTACATTAAAAATTATTGTACTCTCCTCCAGGTAAGCTATTTTCTAAATTGATGTTTCAAAAGTTCAGAAGCATTAAATGCCAAAATTACCAGAAAGTCTCCATTGGGAAAGTTCTTGTTGAAATTGTGTAGTTTTTTTTTGTCAAGACATTTTTTTGGATTTTAATTTCTTTATTGTGTGTTTTCCATATTTTTAGAAGTTCATGGAGTTGAACTACTTGCACATATGGCCAAGAAAGCGCTACATGATGATAGCATTGCCCAACTTTGACCAGTCTTGGACTGTTACACTTTTCATGCCTCTGGATGTGTTTGAAAATCTAAATTGTCCAGACAACTTGATAGAGTTTTTCAAGGACAATTTCCCTGATGCCATGGAGCTGATTGGTGAAGAAAGTCTCATCAAGAGCTTCTTTAGGACAAAGCCCTCCAATTTGCTGTGTGTAAAGGTGAGAGAGAGAGAGAGAGAGGTGGTTTTTGTTGGCAACATTGCTTTTAATTTGGATTTCAAAATAATGTACTCCACTTTTGTTTTGGGTTGTATTTATTAGTGCAAGCCGTACCATGTAGGGGACAAAACTGTCATCCTTGGGGATGCTGCACATGCCATGGTGCCTTTCTATGGACAGGGAATGAATTGTGTGAGTTGATGCTGAAACTACAATACTTGATTCAATTGAGTGGCAAGAAATTTTGCTAAACTATGAATTCACAATAATACCAAATAAAAATTCTATAGCTAAATTTTCCATTTATAAAAAAATGTGCAGGTTCAAGTTGTTTCAGACCAGAGTTACCAAACCTTTTTCTACCAGCAAATTTGAAAAAAAATTGAGGACTGGCATATTTCCAAAAAATGTTCTGCAGTCTCGCAATGTTTCATGAACTTTTTGCTGACTCACAAAATGTTTGTTTGAAAAACTTTATGCGAGGAATTTAAAAAGTTTCTTCTTTTTCCAAAAATTAATTCAAGAATCTGTGAAACAGCTTTAGTGGAATGCCTTCAATAAATTCAAAAGGTGGGCTTGAAAGGTTTCTTGGAATGAAAAATTAAAATAATAATCTCTGCAGGTGAAAATTTGTAAGCCAATCTTCATTTGTCATCAAATAATTTTAACTGCCATTGTCTTTCTGAAATTTCAGAAAAAGATAATATTCTACTTTTGATAATTTATTATGCTGAAGAAAATTTCCTGCAGACCGGCAAAGAAACTTTTCAGACTGGTGCCAGTCTATGGACCACAGGTTGGGAAACACTGATTTAGACAATTAAATTGATCATCCTATGACAAACACAAGTATGAAACTTAGATATTCTCAATTTGAAAATGTTCTTTTGGGCTTTGAGTTTGATGAGCACCCAATTTTTTTACTTTGAATTTTAGGAAAAAATGTGCCCAGCATGGTACTTCATTCAATATGATCACTTTTTGAAGTTACCTGTATGTAAAAAATGACACTTCTCCATTCAGGGCATGGAAGATTGCATAATTTTGGATGACCTGATGACCAAGTTCAATGAGGACCTCAGCCAAGTGCTTCCCAGTTACACTGAGTTCAGGCATCCAGATGCTGTGGCTATTTGTGACTTGGCATTGTACAACTATGTGGAGGTGAGTTCTGTCCATTTATTTGAAGCATATAACGATTTATTGAATGGCATTTGGTTGATGATTATAGATGAGGGACTTGGTCAACTCAAAGACCTTCCTGCTGAGGAAGAAGGTGGACTCTGTGCTGAACTACCTCTTCCCAACCAAGTGGGTGCCTTTGTACAGCACAGTCACTTTCTCCAGGGAAAGGTACCACAGGTGCATTCAAAACAAACAATGGCAGGATAAGGTAAGCCATCAACCAACAACCCTTGATTAACAAACAAAAAGTTTGTTGATGGAATTCCTTTTTGCCATGGATCTCAACAATGAAGAAACAGAGCAGTGGTTTCTTGAAAACTATTGACATGGTCAAAAATGGATGATCTCTTAGTTGTTTGAGCTGCCTGAATTTCTCTCTCAAAAGCTCAGCAGAGAAGCTTTTCATTTTTTAAATGAATTTTTGGGAAAATTTGCAGAATGATGATTGTATTTTGTGAGCAAGTTTGTTTCTGAATGACTCAGGAGCTCAGTTCTGAGCATATGATCATAATGGGCAACATGAAGCACAGAAGATCAAGATCAAAAACAATTTAGATCTTAATTGACATCAGCAGTAGTACTTGAAAAAGGCAAGGATGTTAGTATTAAAGCCAACACTTGAATTTCAATTCGAAAATGAATTCTCTGCAATTACATGGTAACCTTCATATCCATTTTTAGCTAGATTTTGGTTTGTAAACTGATACATTTTTATTTAACAAAAAATGTGTGCTTACCAAATTTTGATCTGTTGACCAGATGAGTTCACTGTGCATACTTTAAAAAATTGTCTTCTATGTCCCTGTTCTGAAATAGGTTCTCAAGAGGGTGCTGTATGGACTTGCAATGTTCACAGTAGTGATGGCATCTTTGCCTCTGATGTGGAGCACTCCTTGAGTTCAAAAAAAAAAAATGGCCCAAGCTATTTGAGCAGTTGACAATGAGATCCTCAACTTCTCTGCTGTTGCTTGTTCCCAAAATGGCTGGTGGAAGATTCCTGCTGCTTGATAACGCTTCAAAGAATGGGATTGAAATCATTTTGTCCTGCATGAGGAATTTCTATTTCCAATCAATGGTGACACAAATAAATAATGGTTCATGTGGAATATATCAAATGCTTTCTTTTTGTTGGTGTTCATCAATAAAATTGCAGGTGTTCAGCCAGAACTGCGGGAACATGGCTGTTGAACATATTCCAGGCAGAAGCCCCTGTTGTTTGTACTGCCCAGTTCAGTCCCATCAGTTCTATAGTAAACTGCAAATGGTTTCCTGGAACCTGTTTTGAAAAAATAAAAAAAAATAATAATTTTTTTTTTCAAAAAATCAAGCACAAATCGATATCTTTGACCAGTATTAGTAAGATGTAATATGGTACTAGCCTTCCAAAAGGTTCTGTTCAGCAGTTGAAAGATAATTCAATCCTGAAGTGTGTGGATTTAGGTGAGATTCACAATCAGCTGATCTGAACTATAAGTATACTGAATTTGATTAATGTAGAAATCATTCTGAAGGAATCTCATAATAACAATCATGACATAAGTCACTTTAGGCCCATATGCCCAAATAGCCACATGGCAATGTTGAAAGACTTCCTTTATGGTGAATTTTTCACTAAAACAAATCTGCAACAATGCATTCAGCTAAAATTCTTGGTTTTTTTAAAAGCAAGAATCACAAAATTTGTAAATACAGTATAAGCAGCACTTCTTGGAAAATCTTAAATTCTGGATGACAATGAACTGAGAAGAATGTGCATATGAGAGCAACTGCTGTTAATTACACGCATACCATCCCTATTATCATTTGCATAATTTGTAACTAATTATTTGAAATAGCAATACTGTATATCTAAATATACTCACTGTAAATTGGCACAGCAAGATTTTGCCCAGACACAGGGTTCAAGGCAGTCCCACAGAACCTGTCTGGACAAAAGGTCCCTGTCTGAGTGTTCTGGACATCAAATGCCTGACTGCTGCCACATGGGATGGTGACCCAGTCTTTGTCCTGCTGTGTGGCACAAGCATCTGAAATCTGAGAACTGAGACCAGCTCCTGCTGCAGAGTTGCCAGTCACTGAAAAGCTCTGTGATGGTGTGTTTGCTGAAAAATGAATTCCAAAAGAGTTCCTAATTAGCAAAAAACTTGACCATATATAATCATACAATCTGAACATTCAGAGTAATATTGCAGTCACATTTTTTTTCTTTTCCAAACATTTTAAAGTTCTCCTTTCATAACAACTAATGTAATGTAAACTGGAATACTCTCATTTTCCTCACTGAACACTTCTGATTTGTTGAAGAAAATCTTTTGAGATACTTTATGACAGGCCAGCAGCATGTGCCAAAGATTTTATTATACAATTTGATGAACAATTTAAATGTCTAATGGGTTGTCTAACCTCACACAATTGACCCTCCTGAATCTAAGCCTAAACTTGTTTGAACAAAATTATCCTGAAAGGATGGCTGTCAAGTTTTCTTATACAAAATATATGGTTACCAATCTTCATACCATTATCAGTGCATTGAGTGTATCTGATTCCACAGAACCCTGCCTCCATCCTGATGCAAAATGAGTAGTCCTGATTGGCCAGTTGCTGTCCTTGAGCATTGTCATAGTTGAAGGTGTAGAAGCGACCAGAAATCCCAGTGAAGTATTGCAAACATCCACTAGTTGCTAAATGTATTCCATGAAAAATTGCATATATTGAAACACTTGTATTTTGGCATGAATAAGAATATGGGTCTCCTCACCTGCCCAAGAGGATTCACACTTGATTTGGGTGATTTTTATTTTCCAAGCTCTACTGGTCAATGATGCTGTCAAAGAGCTGGTGACCACAGTCAAAACTGTGGCTTGGTTCAAGTTGCTCACATCCAGGTACACTGTTGAGCAGCAGAGTAAAAAATTATTGCCAGAGTATTTTAAACAGAATAAGTGATGGGGCACCTGTGATTAACAAATCATTTGGAAGGTGTTCACCTAGAAACTTTTATACTTGCTGCAAGGATTTCTCCCCTCAGTTAAAGTTGTCCTTCTTTTCCTTAAAAAAAAAGATGTTGTTTTGCACCTGCAGCTGTTTCCTGTTTTTGTTTCTTTATGTTGACATCATCAGCAATAGTAAATGCGTGATGCTTTTCTATGAGTCAAGTATATACATTCTTACAGATATTTCTCAGGAAGCCTTGTAATCAATTTAGCCAGACTCCCTTTTTTCTGAACTATCTGTGTTTATAGTAGTTCAAGAAAATACTTGAAATATATTATTCAATATTTTTT